TATATACATGTGTGTATGCATGTATGAACATACATATTACTTTTGTATGTACCACAGAATTAATGGCTTAAAGCAACACATTATCTTGCAATTCTGGAAGTCAGGAGTAAAACAGAAAAAACGACTTCCTTAGTAGGCTAAACTCAAGATGTTGGTAGGGCTGCATTCTTTTCTGGAAGCTCTAAGTAGAATCCATTTCCTTGACATTTTCAACGTCTAGAGGCTGCCCTCATTCCTTGCCACGTGGTCCCCTTCCAACTCCAAAGCCAGCGATGGACAGTCTTTTTCCATCACAGTACTCTCTGCCTCATCAACATCTTCTCTGACTACTTTCCTGCTTCCATCTTTCACTTCTAATGACCCTTCTAATTACACTGGAACCACCCAGATAATCCAGGATAATCCCCCCATCTTTAGGTCATTAATTTGGTCACATCTGCAAACTCCCTTTTGCCAGGTGACATATTCACTGGTTCAGGGGATTAAGACCTGGTCATCTTAGGGGGGCCATTATTCTGGCAAACAAACGGGCAAAACATTTTTGAGGCTGGACACAATGGCTCTTGCCTATAATCCCAGCACTCTGAGAGGCCAATACAGGAGGATTACTTGAGACCAGCCTGGTGATACAGAGAGATCCTGTCTCTAAAAATTTAGAAAATTAGCAGGGTACGGTGGCACATGCCTGTAGTCCCAGCTACTCGAGAGGCTGATGTGGGAGGATTGCTCAAGCCCCAGAGGTCGAGGCTGCCGTGAGCTGTGATCGTGCCAACACACTCTAGCCTGGGCAACAAATCGAGATCCTGTCTCCAAAAAACCAACAACAAACAGTTTTTTGAAAAAATATAAGAAGAGTACTGTTGCTATTTCAGAGAGTGGCTGAGGAGTAGAAGGGTTGGCCATGTAAGAGGATCTACTAAATAGGCAATCAATGGAAAATGTCTAAATAGATGAATCAAAAATATGCACTTTACTCAGAAACATCACTGCTGGAAGAAACGGCTAAGAGAATCAAAGTGGTTGCCTCAGAAGAGGATAAGGGTAGGAGGAGACAAGGAATCACTGCATTTTGTGAGGAGGTTTTAGTACTATTCGACTTCTTAAATTATATGCATGTACTACTGTGGGTAAATAAAAATGAATTTTTAAACAGAGAGTAGTGATGGGAGAAAGGGCTTACATCCCATCTGCAGCCATGGGTTGCGTTTGGCCTTCATTTCCTCCTCTATAAATAAGAGTGTAGCTGAGGCCCTTCCACCTCTGTTGTTTTATGAAATCATCACGTCCCACAGAATAACCATCATCAGCTCCTCACACCCACACAGAGTTCCATCACCAGCTACAACACTGGTACCTCCCTCTCCAACTCCCCCCACCCCACGAAATGCTGAATTCTCCAAACACATCATTCCCACTGCAACCAGCCCATAGGCAGTGCAAGTCAGTGCTTCCTGCATCCCTAACCACAACCCCCACTCACTCAGCCCCATCTCAGACTGAAGAGCCACATCTCAACCATCTCCTGGAGCCTCAGGACTGCTCCCCCGCACCACACTGTCCCCACCGCCATCCCCACCTTCCTCACCAACCCCAGACTCATCAGCACCCCCTGAGATGACCACCGGAGCCTCCTCTCCATCTTCAGATTGAGAGACTGCTGGCTCCCCCGCCACCCCACAGTCCCACCCCAACACGGGCTTGCACACAATTGTCCTCTTCCAAAACCAAAACTGTCACGGCCCACAAACCTAAATCCTCACTCCACCAAATACCAGCCCAATGTTCTCACCCCAAGAGCCTCTTCTTCTCCATCTCAAGCTCTCTGTCTAAATGACAGAGATTTCTGCAGCAGGTCCTTCTCCCTCCCTCTGCGTGAATTTTCCTTTTCCTCTAGTGGACTCTGGTTGTTCTGCTCTACCTAGATGCCTTCCCCTCCTTCCTGGTGGAAAACCCTGGTCATGGGGTTTTGACTGTGTCTATGCTGACCTTAACCTCCACCCCAGGCAAGGGGTGAGCATGTGACCAGGTAGAGCCAATCAGAGGCCTCCCTGGAACCTTTTTACCGATGCGATGGAAAGATGCTAACATGGTCAATGTGAGTCAGGGGCTGCCAGCTGCTGCCTTCCCACCACGTGGAGAGAGCCTGCCTGAGAACGAAGAGCTCAGAGATGAAGACAGAGGGAGAAGGCTTTCAGTGACTGTCTGGTCCCCTGGTCTTGCTGTTCCTGGAGGCAAGGGCGTCTCCAAACTTTTGGGTGCTGTGAATTATCACTCCATTGGTATGAGTCTAGACTTGTGGCTGACACCCTTCTGGCCTATAGGCTAATCTCAGTCCCCTCTGGGAGGCCCACTGCAGGGCTTCTAATGCTGGCCTTATTTCTTACTAGCTGTGTGGCCTGAGGCAAAATGATGCCTCAGTTTTCTCAGCGGTAGAGTGGGGAAAGAACTCTCCAACTTACAGGGTTGCTGTGAAATTTAAGATGGAATGCCCTAAAAATGCTTCCAAGAGCGCCTGGCACAGAGAAAGTACTCAGTAAATCTTAACCACTATTACTCTCGGATTCCACCAGCCCGCAGATTTCTCCCCTTTCTTGAAATCCCTGGAGTTTTTCTAAGTGGCCTTTGCTCAAGCAGGCGCTTGTACTTAAGCTCCTCCAACATCTCAGGTCCGCGAGCAGAGCTTTACAATGTCAACATCGCATTAATCCTCACGCATCACCCCAACCCTTTGAAGCGGGTACTATTTTTATCCCCATTTTCCAGATGAGAATAATGAGGTACGGGGAGATTAACAAAACTGCCCAAGGTCACACAGTGGGTAAGGCGTGGAGCCACACGCAGTCCAGGTCCGTCCCACTCAAAAGCCCTCAGCCCTCCACCCCATCCCTCACAACTAGCATGTGACTGCTGCAGATAGATCAACGCTGGGCACGGACTGGCCAGAAAACGGTTTCCAGTCTGTCTCTTTCCTGGTCAGGCTTGTCTGCAGTGGGAGCGGGGAAGGAGGGCACAATACTTTCTAATGACAGTATTCAATGCCCTGCCCAATGCAGCGTCATTCATTCATTTATTCATTCATTCAAGCAGCTATTTCCTGAGCACCTACCATGTGCCAGACACTGTTCTAGAAAACATGCCCCGTACTGTTCAATCCTCATAACAACCCTATGCAGTAGGTCCTAGTGTTATCCCTGTTTTATAGAAGACATGGAGGCCTGGAGAGGTTTAGTACCTCTCCGGGGTAGCATAGTTAGTGAGCTCCAGGGCAGGATTATGAATCCACGTCCATGTAACTCGGGATCCCTGGCAAACGTGGAAGCTCTTGGTCATAAATGAGCACACTAAACACGAATCCCAGAGCCAGCGCCATGATCAACTGTTTATGCCTCTGGGGTGACCCTGGCCCACAGATAAGAGTCCCATGGCCAAATTTCCTATGTGAGCTTAGGAGGAGGTGCCAATGAGTCCTGTGGCTGACAGAAGGCAGCAGAGTATCTTGTGCCCCACCCCCACCCCTGCCCAATCAACTGCCAGGGTGGGGGTACACTGGGGGCCAACAGAAAGTAGAGGCCACCTCCTAGACAGAAATGTCTATCTCTCCACTATTCCCCCTCCTGTCACAACCTCTCTTGGTCATAAGGCTGGGGATGGAGAAAGAGGAGGGGGAGGAAAGGGGGTCTTGGTGCCACTTTCCAGTGAGATGCCCATCATCATTCCATCACCCTTTCAGAAACATCACTTTCACCCAAACCACTGGGTATCCATAGAATACCAAAGCCACTGGTGAGAGGCCAGCAGTCCTGCCCTCTGTAGAGCCCATCTGTCTGGCTCTAGAGTCACAATAAGACGGCTTGTGGCTCTCACACCACCCTCGAGGCCATGGCACCACCAGCACTGGCACCGGCAGCAGGAGCACTTATGATCACACCAAACCTGCTGCCACTACGGCGGCCACATGGGAGTCTGAGTCAGACTCCTTTGCTCACACTAATGGTTGCCATGACACAGCCTCAAAAGTGGGGGGGGGGGGTGATTTATACCCAAAATAGACGCTGTTAAGGAGCTGAAGTTGTTCTCAGGAGCCAAAATGAGCCAACACAGACTTTCGTAAGCCAGCACCCATTTCCAAGTGCTGGAAGCCAGGAGCCCTGTCTAAGGGGTCACACGTGCTGTGGGTCAGATGGGCTTCCCATGGCCTGGGAGTCAGGGGCACAGGGGGCCAGGCTGGAGTCCATGTGAGAATCAGGCACATGGTCCTGGACAGGGGTCTGGCAGCAACCAGCATGGGTCTGATTTTATCATCCCTGGCGGAAGCGGCCCACGGTCATCTGCATGTTTCTCTACTTTTCCAACCTTCTCTGAAGAATGGTCTACAGCTGTCAGCTCCGGAGCCTCTATCACTTAGCCCCCTACGCGTGGCCCTGTTCCCCCACCCCACAGCTCTGAAACCCTCTAGGGATGCTGACCATCTTTGTCCTTAGGGGAGAATGCTCCCACCAGGGGATATATCACAATATTTTCCCTGGGACAGACAACACTTACACCCACTTTGCTTTCTTGAATCCCTTATGTCACAGAACTGACAGTGGAAAAAAGGAGTGATGCCACTGTCTGGAGTGATTGATCCTAGTTACCAAGGAGAAAGCTGGATTGCTGATCAGCAACAGAGCCAAGCAAGACTACGTCTGGAACCCAGCAGATTCTCTCAGGCACCTCTTAAGACCTTCTGTGCCCAAAGGAAAGCTTAATGGAAAGTTATGGTAACAACAACAAAAGCAGGATAACTAAGGACTCAGATCCTTGGGGAAGGAGGGTTTGGGCCACTCCATCGAGTAAAAGTAGCATGACCTGCTGAGGCTCTGGCTGAGTGTGGAGGAAATGCAGAATAGGAGAAGAGGAGGAAGCCAGGTAGCAAGTATAGCCTTGTGAACAAACGCAGAAACCAGGCCTCTAGTGGTTTTGCACGTTTTCTATTCACTTGATGCATATGTGTGTGTGTGTGCGATACGGTAACCATTTTCTTCTTTTTTTCTCATTCTTTTTTTTTTTTTTTTTTGAGACAGAGTTTCATTCTTGTTGCCCAGGTTGGAGTGCAATGGTGCAGTCTCGACTCACTGTAACCTCCGGCTCCTAGGTTCAAGTGATTCTCCTGACCCAGCCTCGCAAGTAACTGGGATTACAGGTGCCTGCCACCATGCCCAGCTAATTTTGTTGTATTTTCAGTAGAGACGGGGTTTCATCATGTTGGCAGGGCTGGTCTTGAACTCCTGACCTCAGGTGATCTGCCCACCTCAGCCTCCCAAAGTGCTGGGATTAGGCATGAGCCACTATGCCCAGCCCCCATTGTTTTCTATACAAGTTGTTAGCAGTTAACTTTATAATTTAGTCTTTAGGTAACAGAATATTCAGTGGGACTGTGACTGGCTTTGAGAAGTTATTATAGCCAGATGGTTGGGGGTCTTTGGGCAAAAGGGTGAGAACTTCATAAGAAGGATAACTGTCTTGATAGGTAGACATCTGTTGGTTGTTTTTGTATAGGAGTTCAGATGTTGTAAAAGCGTGCAAATGAAAGCTGTGTAGCCAAAGGGGTAGACTGTGCCAGTTACCGATTTATTCACCAATTGTTGCCTGTGCTGTGAAGATGGAGCTGGGCCCTTTAAATACTTTTCCTTTGCCAGCTGGCACAGCTGTGGAGGACACTGAAGAGGTGTTGGAGGAGGAAGCGCGTGTCCTTCCTAGACCTGATGTGCTCTTTGGTGGGTTCCTGCGTGGCATACAACCTCTCCAGCAGCCAGATCTTGCTGCATAGGCGCTTTCCAGCATCAGGGTCTTGTCACATGTGAAGCTTCCCAGAACCCAGCTCCTGCGCTGTCACAGCTGCTCCAGCACCCAGTTCCCATGGCATACAGCCTTCTAGTGTCCAGCTCCTGCAGGAGTGCCAGGCTCTTGCAATACAGGTCGCTTCCCCAGCGCCTGGCTCCAGCAACACATGGCAGTCAGCAGCACCCAACAGTCAGGAGCTTCACCCAGCGCTCCCTGGGAAAACTTAGCAGCCGTGTGCTTCCTGCAAGATACCTCTCACAGACAACTTTCCTTGGGACCCAAAAAGGTGGATTTCCAGTAAATTCCGGAGTGTGGCTATCCAGCAAGTTCTGCCAACGAGGCATTACAGAGACATTGCCATCCAGGGAGCCGTGGCCACACCCTCTCCATCAATGTCTGGATCTCAGCCCTGTGAGGCCTCTTCCTTGGGCATTCTGTGGCAACCCTAGAGGTAGCTGCTGTTCTCACAGCTGTTATTTTTGTATTCTTTGGAGTTATTTTTGCTTCTTATTAGCCAACTCCTCATTATTCCAATCTTATTAGAGTTAATCATCCTTATGCGAAACTTTGGTCTCTGCCTCCGGAATGGACCCTGACTGATATCGTCACCCACTGCCCCAGAGGGCCTTTTTCCCTCCTCATGGCCCTTGAGCTCAGTTCCACATCCTGGCCAGCTCATCGCTCTCTGCTCCAGGCACTCCCTCAACAGCCATTTCTTGAGTGCAATTGTGGAGCCAGGCCCTGGAGTGAAAGGAGACCCCTGCTTCTGGAGCTCACCAGCAAGCGCCTTCTCCCAGCTGGGACTCCATCTGGCTCTTTGCTCCTGGGTCTCCAGCCTCAGATTCTGCAGTTCTGTCTCCAGGGCTGGCCAAGAGTCTTGATCCCACTTCTGCACAATGGGCGCTCCTCAAAGGTCATGTTCTACCTTCAGCTTTTCTTTGAATGCTCTTCCTCTAAGACACTTGGGCATAAGTTAACATAGGCCTCCTACTGCCAGGGGCTCCCTCTATTTGTTTTCATCCCAACCGGATGACTTGCAGTCATCTAAAATCCTACTCTTCCAGAACATGCTTCCTTCAGAGCCAGCTCTGTTTTCTGGCTTTTCCCCCAATGTGGAAGTAACACTCCCTTCCCTTCAGCTGCCTAAGCTCCAAACCCTAGAGAAAACTCAGGTCTCACCTGTCCCCTGGGTCCCCACATCCAGCAGGCACCTGGTCCTCAGACTTCTCTACTCCCCCTATTCCCTCCAGGCCTTTTGTATCCCTTGTGTCTGTGGCACAATAACCTGGTGGCTCTCCTGTAGCGGATCCACCTGCCTCTGGTGTCTCTACCTCCCACCCTAGCCTCTCAGCAAAGATTGTAAAATTGTCCACACAGGGCTCCCTCTATGAAAACCTATGATGCCTGGTGAGAATTTTAAAAAATTGATTGTGAATGTACTAAAACCATTGAACTGTACACTTAACATGGGTAAACTGTATGGGATGTGAATTATATCTTAAAGCTACTATTTTAAAAAAATCCTGTGATGCCAAAGATTTTCACACATGGTAAAATATATGCTCTGGCCTGGCCTTACCGGAGCTGGCTGCAATGCAGCCTCCGCCCACTGTTCTGGCCCTGCCCCCACCTCTCCCAGCTCTCCCAGCTGTCCCCAGATGACACCCCCGGCTCCCACCCTCTACCACAGGGCCCACTCAGGTCCTCTTTCCTTCAACCCAGCACCTCTCCTTCCCCCACCTTGTCCCCTTCTCCTCGACCACCCACCCAGAGGTCACTGAGTGTTCCCTGCGTATACAGATGTGTCTAACTTCCCAAAGCGACGAGGTCAGAGTTCATGCCTTGCATCTTGCTGTCCTTCCCCACCCCGCCCACAGCTTGTCCCCTGAAATCCCATTCCGGGTGACCCTGGAGGCAGAGAGGACTGTGTGAAGTCACTCCCAGGCAGCTGCAACATCCCCAGCACAGTGCTGCGGTGCCTAGAGCGACCCCCCACAATCCCCATTCTAGGGGTCGCTTGACAGAGCCCCATGGAAAGGCCGTTTGCAGGAGCTCCGAGGCCAGCAGTGCACCTGCCCTGGGTCTGCAGGCCCACCTGCCCCAGATCCCCCAGGTGAAGGGGATGGTGAGGGCCTAGGCTATCAGTGAACCACAGGAAACAGGGGTGAGTCCTTGGCTGGCCTGTGACTACCCTCTCCCGACACCACCCTTGTCCATGCTCCCCCAATCCACTTCCTGGACCAACTCCCTCTCATCTCTAAACCAGGAGGTCCCCCAAAGGGTCTTTAGGACTGTTGGAGCTCGGCCCCTCCCCACCCACTTCCGCAGAAAGGAGCCCACTGCTCTCAGACTTTCCCACAGGGCTGCCTTTCTCCTCATTGTCTGTCCCAACCAAAACAAACTGCGCGCCATGGCTCACACCTATAATCCCAGCACTTTGGGATGCTGAGGCAGGCAGATCACCTGAAGTCAGGAGTTCAAGACCAGCCTGGCCAACATGGTGAAATCCCGTCTCTACTAAAATACAAAAATTAGCCAGGTCTGGTGGCAGGTGCCTATAATTCCAGCTACTCAGGAGGCTGAGCCAGGAGAATCACTTGAACCTGGGAGACGGTGGTTGCAGTGAGCTGAGTTCGCACCAGTGAGCCAAGATGCACTAGCCTGGGTGGCTGAGTGAGATTTCATCTCAAAACAAACAAACAAAAAACCATTTGTGGAGGGGGCTGAGGGAGGGAGAAGAGCCCAGGGTTCCGAGCAGCACATCTCAGAACCACGGGCCCGTGCCTCCAGCAGTCTCTGCCTCAAACCCTGGCTGTCACTCAGAGATTCGGGCCTCAGTTTCCCAAGCTGTAAAGCGGGGTAAATAAGAGTCCCTAGTTCTCAAGTCTATTTTAAGACAGAAGGGAATCTGAGTCCAGTGTTTAACATAGGACCTGGCATGTGGCAGGCACTCAATAAATGTTCATTTAAACATTATTATGTGCTTGATCAGAAAGAAAGGCAAGCCGTGTGTTCTGAGGAAACCTAGACTCTGGCTTCAGACCACGCCATGGAGTGGCTTGTGCTCACTCCTAGGAACAGCTGCTGGGCCTGGGTCCCCCTCCCAGCTAATGCCCCTCAGTCTCCAGCCCAGGCTCCTTTGCCACTAGAATGGGGAATGTATTTGCCAGAGAATTTCAACCTGCCACTGTGGCCTCTGGAGTCTCTCACAGTCATGCAGAACACACACACACACACACACACACACACACACAAACACACATAGATGCACACACTAGACACATGCAGAGATGATCCAGGCACACAGGCGCACACACGTGCACAGCCCCCCTTGTGCTGTGCTCTCGGGGCACCCGGAGCAGGAGGATCCTGGGGAGGCTCCCAACACAGGCACATGCGTTGCACATTTCACCTACTGTATGGGCCAAAGAGGCATTTGGAAACCAGCTTGGGAACCTCATAACCATTCATAACATTGTTCTGAGAGAAAACACAAAACAGTGCCCTATAAACAAACATTTGCAACAGAATTCCTCCAAAAGCTTGGAATTGCCTGTACTAGAAAACTAACAGAGCAAGAAGAGAAAAACCGCATAAACTTGGTTTGCCTGTGCAAAATTAATACCAATTACAAAAACATTTATGTGAACTGCTTACCATTTACACCTAATTACCATGCAGCACAATTATGCATATCATTAAGGGTATGCCAGATTAATTATGCTGTACATTTCATTTGATTACACCGCCACACCCTGAGTTCATGTATGCCCCATTTCCAGAGGGCCAGTCCTGCGGCACAGCTGCTCGCACAGGTCTGCACAAACCAGAGATAGGTGGGTTTCCACAATCTGATGGACTGTAGCCCCCGCCCCACCCCCAGCCAGAGACAGCTGACTTCTGCCCAGCCTTCTTGGCAGCATCACCACCACAAGAGCCCTACTTCGAAGCCATCTTCCCACCAGATCCTCCAGCATGCAGAGAGGCTTCAAACGTCTCCCCAGGGGTACAGCTGCATGTCAGAGGGCCACCATACAGCCCAAGGGCCATCATGTGTGGCTCTTGCAGAGAAAGTGGCCCTCCCAGCCATCTCCCGAGGTCTGGCTCTGAAAGCAGGGCAGCCCCACCCATGTCCAGGCCAAGTCACCTCTGAGCTCATCTCCCAGACCCACCAGGGCTGTGTGCCCTGTCCCCTGGCACACTGAGCCAGCTATAGGGCAAGGTCTCAGCTGTGGTCCTGCTGGGTCTTGCACCTTTCCCCAGGGGCCCCATGCCCTCCGCTCTCCTGGACAGCTCTGCACAGATCCTCCCCAGCTTATAAAAAGAGAACAGGACAGCTATTCAGGAGGCTGAAGCAGGAGAATTGCCTGAACCCAGGAGGCGGAGGTTGCGGTGAGCCGAGATCGCGCCATTGCACTCCAGCCTGGGTAACAAGAGCGAAACTCCATCTCAAAAAAAAAAAAAAAAAAAAGAGAACAGGAACTGAGCCCCCTGCTCCCCCGCTCCCATTTACCTCAGTAGATGCTCTTCAAATACACTGGGTGCATTAGGTTTGCAGGGAATAATCGGGAACAAGAGAGTCTATAGAACACGATGAATGGACCTTCCCTGGAAAGGGGAACTCAAAACTGACCGAGGGGACAGGAGGAAAAAGGCTTCTTGAGAGGAAAAGAACCAGAGGAAGTGCAGAAGCGAGGGAGGGAGGGATAGGGTGTGTGAGTGCCGCCTCTGTGCCAGCAGTGAACATACATGGTTGAATTTTCATCCTCCAACACCCTCGAGGCCAACTGTATGAGGATTCTCTTAAAAGATTGGTGGAAAACGCTGGGCGCGGTGGCTCACACCTGTAATCCCAGCACTCTGGGAGGCCAAGGCAGGCAGATCGCAAGGTCAAAAGATCGAGAACATTCTGGTCAACATGGTGAAACCCCAACTCTTCTAAAAATACAAAAAATTAGCCGGGCTTGGTGGTTTGCGCCTGTAGTCCCAGCTATGTGGGAGGCTGAGGCAGGGGAATCGCTTGATCCCAGAAGAGGCTGCAGTGAGCCGAGATCGCGCCACTGCATGCCAGTCTGGCGACAGAGCAAGACTTAGTCTCAAAAAAAAAAAAAAAACAAGAAAAAAAAAAAAGAAAAGGGTGAAAGAAAACATCCAGGTTTAGCACAAGAAGCAGTGCTCAGAACAAACAAGAACACCAGCCTGTGAAGTTACATCCATTTTGCAGACGGCAAAGCTGAGCCTAAGAGAGGTTGAGTGATCTCCCAAGGACACAAAGCAAGGAGGTGGCAGGGCTGAGATGAAACCACCATCTGTCCAGCCCCCCAGCCTGGTGGCTCCAGCATGATGCCACACTGCTCCTGACCTCTATCTAAGTTCAATGGTGCTGATGTGGCTCACGTCCTTTTTCTAGAAGTTCTTTGGAAACAGCCTTCCACATTATCCTTCACAGAACACACATAAGCCTCTATTTTAGAGGAACAGTTTTTGCTTCTTTTCTGTTTGCTTTCCAAATACACTGTGTTCAGGTTGTCCCTCCTGTCTCTCTCCACAGACCTGCCTCTGAATGGAGAGTGAGGGGAAGGCCGGACAGCCTGACATCAACTTCCAGCCCAACACCCAAATATTCTTAGAGGGCAATGAAACTCGCCGCAGGTTCTGGGTGGAGGGCCAGGGTCTAGGCCTTGCAGGTCATCTTTTGGGGAAATCACTGGGAAGCAGGCACCCCAACTCATCAGCATCCCCAATGCATGGGTGCGAGAACCTTCCTCAAAATCTTCCTCCAAAAATCTGCAGGGGTCCGATCAGTTATGGACTGAAATGCACCTGCCTGTCTCATCCATTGCACAGGCCCTCCAGGCCTATGACTCAGGCTCCAGCCTCCTCTACAAGCCTGGCCTGGCTCTGGCTCCCCCTGGGGAAGTCAGAGTTCAGAAAGGAGAAAGTGCCCTGGGAAAATCCCACCCACCCTCAAGCCCCAATTCCAATCCAACTCTGTGTGGGAGGCACCTCCTGCTCTCTCTGACTCCCTCCACCCTGTACCCCCCATGAAGGGCATCCCCACCCACACAGCTGGCTGAGCTAGAAGCCAGGGGGCCTCCCCAACTCCCTCATTCCTTTATCATGACCGTTCCTACTGACTCCATTTCCTAGACGTTGTACCATGCATACCCCCTCCAGGCCCACACTGCTTCCCCGGACCTCTGTGCCAGCCTTCCACTTGGGCTTCCTGCCCCCAAACCCTATTGCCTGAGTTCTCTTCCTTGATGCCCTAGAATGATCTTTCTCAAATATAAATACCAAGCTGACATCACTGATAGATAATATCCCGGCCTTCCATGGTCCTCCAGCCTGGGCCCCTGGCCTCACACCCCATCATTCCCTACACTGCGGCCTCATGGGGCCAAAAAGCACCCTTGCCCACCTTGCTGACTGCTTCCTGCCCTTCGAGGCTCAGCTCAAGCGTCAACTCCTTTAGAAAGCCTTTCTGGATCTTCTCTCCCCCTGAATCCGACTTCCTTCTCTGAGCCCTGATAATGCCTGGGCACAGTGTGCCAGGGGTCCTTCTGCTCTGCCAGACCCCCACCTAAGCTGCAGACTCCTTGAGGATGAGCATGAGCCCTTTCATCTGTGTAGCCTGTGCCTGGCACACAGTAGGTCTCTCTGAGATGAATGGATGGACATCGTTTGTGGATCCTCTGGAGAGAACACTTAAGTGCTGCTGGTCCTGCCAACTTGGGGGCCAGCATCTCACCATGCCATGCCCTGGCTCTCTCTGATTCTAGGCTGCTGGCAGGGTGTTGACAGAAGAAAATGCAGAGGCGACTGAATGCCCAGCCCCACTGGGCTTCTCAGCTGAGCTTCCAGTACCAGGCAGGGCCCTCAGGCCACCACCAGTTGGGCTGGGAACCGTCAGCCTGTGCGTGGATGGCAACAAGCACCACATTGTTGCTGGTAATAAAACCATTAGGAGCTCTTGCTGCGTGCCAGCTGCCAGGCTGGGCTGTGGTCTAGGGCCTCCCATGCCTCCAGGCCGTGGGGCAGAGCCAGAACCCAGCAAAGGCCACTCTCTGCTTGGCCCCGAAGAGACCAGTGAGCAGGGAGGGAAAGATGGGCCAGGCCTTGGGGGAACTACTGGGTCCCCACATAAGCAGGGGACTCTGAAGAGATCAAAAAAGGTGCAGGTAGATCCTGGCCTCACAGGAAGAAGTGGAGGCGCAGAATGGCTGAGAAAAAAAGGGACAATTTATTGGCAACAGGAAAAAGGGACCTGGGTCAGACAACAGAAGCTAAGGAGAGAGACATCTTCCTCTGTCTGTCCCTGCCACTTCCCCTGGCCCCCGACTCCCAGCTCAGAGTCCATCGTGGGCTTGGGGGTCATTCAAATTTGATTATTTCTTCCCCTCACCATGAGCGGTCACGGGGAGGACAAGCAATACTTGCAGGATCTTTTTTCTTTCTTTTTTTTTTGAGACAGAGTTTCACTCTTGTTGCCCAGGCTGGAGTGCAATGGCTTGAGCTTGGCTCACTGCAACCACTGCCTCCCGGGTTCAAGCAATGCTCTTGTCTGTCTCCCGAATAGCTGGGATTACTGGCATGCACTATCACACCTGGCTAATTTTTGTATTCTTAGTAGAGATGGGGTGTCACCATGTTGGCCAGGCTTGTCTTAAACTCCTGACCTCAGGTGATCTGTGCAATTCGGCCTCCCGAAGTGCTGGGATTACAGACGTGAGCCACTGTGTCCAGCCACTTGCAGGGTCTTATAGAGCAGCAGGGCTTTGTGGGGGTCACCCTAACTCTCAGGCAGCCCTGGAATGACCCCCATGTAAAGAAAAGCAGCTCACACCCACCTGAGCACCTCCTCTGTGCCAGGCACAGTGCTGGCTGTTTTCATGAATTATTGCATGTCATTCAGGCAACCCCTGTAAGATGTGGCTGCTATTCTTATCCCCAATTTGCAGATGAAAAACCTGCAGCTCCAGATGGTTTGGGGCCAGCAGCAACTAAGCACAAATGGGGCTGAGACGCTCCTCCAGGTGGGCCTGACTCCCGAGCATCTTTCTTGCCCTGCACTTCCGTCCCCTACATGCCTGGAACTGAATGGCTGGTTTGTAGAGGGACCAGTTCTGTGCTTGCCTCCAAGTCCTGGGTCCTTTTATGTCTGTTCCTGCCTTATTCCAGGGGCAGGGTCAAAAAAGCGCACAGACCCTTCTCACGTCCTGTTGAACAGGGCAGCCTCAGGGGAAGGGAAGCTCTAAGAGGCACCCATGGGTGGGGTGGGGAGGGGAAGGTGGAAGAGGATGGTAGGTGCTGTTGCTAAGCAACCAGCCCTGAGCTTCCTGGGGTAGCAAGACAACTGCAGGTGAAGGAATTTGTATCTGCCCCTGCCTCATCTCTCCACCCCATCACCAGGGTTACTGCCACCTGCTCAGGGACTCCTATATCAGAGTTGAGCCCACATGCCAGGCAAGTTTCTCAGCACCCCTTCTATTCCTTCATGGGGCCTCCTGAAGCCCCACTTTGTCTCCCTTGGGTGAGGCCTCCCAAGAGGCTCTCACTATGCCAGGGCTGGGCCAGCTGAGCGCCACGCCGGGCCAGGCCACAGTTACACTTACAGTTCCTCAGGAACCTTCTGGGCCATAACAGTCCACCAGACTGATGCTTTTGGGGAAGATTCTCAGCGATTGTTCTTCACCCTGGGTCAGAAATGTGTTTCAAGTTGCCATCCTATAAAGCTAACTTTGTCCCCTGTCCCTGGCGTGGGCCAGGGTGCATGCAGTCAGCGGCCTATTTTCTGCTCTCACCTAATCCCTGCCAGACTAGGTCTTCACTCAGAGGCATTATATCTGCTATATTTCTCTCTGTAGCCTTTCCAGAAAAGACACGTACCTGAGTAAGCTTACCCCTTGCTGTCAGTCTGTAAACCAGTTTCTTACCCATTATAAAAAAGAGTCCATCCCTGAGCCTTATGTCACTGAATTCTTTTTTCCACATTCTTATCCATGGGCTTTTCAAAAGTGAAGTTTTATTTTTGTTGTTATTAAGAGAGTAACACAAGTTCATTTACATTTTTTCAAATAAAACAAAAGTGTATAAAGTTAAAATGCAAAAACCTGTTGACAGGTTTGTGTATATCCTTCCAGAACAACTTTTCCATGCATGTACAAACTTACAAATGTGCGTTATTTGTGGCAACTTTAAAGAATTTCCTGAAAATGAGATTACACTATGAACATTTTTTTTAAACCACAACACTACTGCATGGGCATCTAACACATCAGAACAGACACACTTGCTACCTTGTTTCAAAGACTTTTAGGGAATTTAAGTAGATTTCCCTTTTCCGGTGCATTTATTTACCACGTTGGGCACCTATGTAAGTAATCATGCAGGCCTTCCCGAAGCCTCCTTCCAAACAGGTTCTACTCGCTGGGGTGCTGGGGCATCCTACTGGCCTGGCATGGGCAGAGGTGAACACCCCTGTGCCTCCCGGGGTCCTTTGGGGAGTGGAGGGGGAGGAACACCCCAAAGGCCTCCTGCCCCCAGGCCATGGCCATTCCCAAGTATTCCCCAGGACACAGCCCACACTCAATAAACAGCTTAGTGAGCCACAAATCTAACTCCATGCCCCACAATCTCCTCTCTAAGCATCTTTTTACCTTTTCAAGGAAGGATCATTGGAACCCATGACCTAGCTGATCCATCAGATCTTGATCATCTGCAATAAGCCCCCCTCCCCTTTCATTATAGCAAGAAGAGCACTAGAGTAGGAGTCAGGAGACCCAAGTTCCAGCTCTCCCATTACTGGCTGTAAGAGATGGTTGTCCGTCCCCTCTGTGCACTCAGATGGGGCAGCTAATAACTGGCTCAGAATTAAAAATGACCTTGACATTTGAAACAGAAGCAGGGAGGGAAGATCAATAGGGATGGTGGCGAGCAGGGTGATGACCACAGGAAAGAGAAAATAGGAACCCGGTCATATGTCTAAATAAGGCTGGGCAGCCTTAAGGGTCAGAGGGGGCCACAGCAGGACAGGAGTGGGCAACGCAGAGCTACTGCTGAAAAAAAGAAAAAAAATTCACTCCATACTAGATTTAGCTAGGAAAGCCCCAGGCGTCTGGGCCTCCCTTACCCCCACCCTCACTGCCCACCAAGCACCCCTGCTGTCCTCCAGACAGGCTGGTGACCTGTGATGTATGTGATCAGCAAGGGAGATTCGGCCCAGAGGGCCCTGCCCACCAACTGTTCTTGCAGGGGGCTGCCAGGCACCTGCACTCATGCCTGGGGGCCTAGGCCGCCTGCAGGGCACTTCCCCTCTGGGTTGGTGGCTCTGTTCTCCCCAGTGCATGTGTATTGTGGGGCAGGGTGGAGTCAGGCTGCAGACACAGGAACCTGACATCTCCACCCCCCATTTCCCTGGCACTGGTGGTCCCTTGGAGGAATGTTCTGGATGCTGAGGCATCTCAGGCTGGTGGGGTGGGCAAGGGGAAAAGGGGAGACATGAAGACCTCTGGGGAGGCCACAGAAAAGACCCTTGCACTACAACCCCATCCTTACCATGACTGCCATCACTCGAACACAGATCAGACCTGAGGGTGGCCTCCCCCTTAATCATCATAACCCCTGGGGTAGGTGTAATTTAAACCCTACTCTGTTGCTCTCCAAGTCTGAGCTCTTAAGCTCTAATATATAGAATAGGAAGAATCAGGATCTGACACCAAATGAGCTCATTTGGCCCCTTCCTCTCCCTCCCTGCTGTCCTCTCTCCACCCCACCCCCCACTGGCCGCCACACTCAGGCAGTTCAGGGCGATTCTCCATGAGCCACACAGGAGTTCCCAGAGTGCAGAGACCTCCTCCCCAAACCAAGGCAGGGCCTCAGCCTGGCCTCCAGCACAAACCAGGACCAAGGCCACCTCCCGGGCACTGCAGCCAACCCCCAATGATGCCCTGCCCCTGACACCCTGGCTTCTTCCCTGAAGCCCCAAAGCCCTACTTCTGTGCTCTGAGGCGCTTCTGAGAAGCCAGCTCCTTCAAGAAGCCTTCCCTGATCGCCTTAGTTGGTTGTGACCTCACTCTCCTTTGAGCGCTTTATTCTCCCTCTCTGGTGACCCTGGTCCCACTCGGCAGTCCTGCATTAGCTGGGTGCATCCTAAATGCACTGAGTCCCCTCAAAGCCAGCACAGGGCATGGCTTCCAGGAAATGCTCAGCACATCTCTGGAAAGTAGAAGTGAATACGGTGGGAAAGTGCTGCTGCACTCAAGACAAAATGAGAATAATGAGCTGAAACTACAGCAGGAGGGATTTCAGGTGGAAGCAAAACAACCTGTTGACATGTCATTTGTTCAACTCAACAGATTGCTAAGTGGCCCTGAGGAGCCTCCCACCTCCCAGGATTTTGAATCAGAATCGGCACTTTCCTCATCTGACCAAGATTCTGCAAAAGACACAGGAAGGTGGACGAGGCTTCTCAGAGCACTTCCTGCAGCGCCAGTCCACGTGAGCCGCCCAAATGATGAAAACAGACACAGCTAGCAGGAGGGCTCCCGCTCTGCTAGGGCTGTAACGCACATCATCTCACTCCATCCTCACAACCACCTGTAGGCAGAACCCACGTGCACTCCCATGTTACAGGTGAGGAAACTGAGGCCCAGGGAATCGAGTTCTTGCCCAACTTCCTGCTGCTGCGAGGAGTCAGAGTGCAGCTCCCTGTGGCTAAAGGGCCTCACGCTGCCTTGACACTGGCTCATGTGGAAGCAAGTCCTCCCCATCCACACGCAGCAGCACACCACGTACACGCACATCATACACAGACACACATGCACCAAACCTCGTCTTGCCCACACGCTTAGCCAAGTGGAGGCAGGCTCGGATACAGACATAAATCTCAGGCTGACCCTTCATGAATCTCAGATTTGGTCATGTTTTTAGGGAAAAATCATCAAAGAGAGAAATGATTGGAAATGAGCCCTCAAAATGAAAGTGCAAAGGAATCTGGCACCTTTCGCAGCCTATTAAAGTCCTGCTCAGGAACAGGGAAGTCCCTGCAGAAACCCAGCCTCAGGCCAGGCGGGCTGCAGACGGGCTTTCTGCTCACCTACTAATATTCAAACGGAAATGGAAGCTATTCCCCAAGGGCCGAAGCGTGGGGAATAGCACAGGGTAGACGTTCTGGCCCTACCTGCTAGAGGCCAGAGACACACTCGACTCCCAGTGGGGCACAGGGTGGGGAGGACACGCACCAAGTCCAGGACTCCAGGCCAGCAAGTTGAAGGCAGCAGGAAGTGCTCAGGGAGAGGCATGTGACCGGCACGTGAATGGCCCTGCAGGCCTCAGGCTCTGCTTAGCACAGACAACCCTGGGAAGAACTGGGCACCACCTCCCACAAACAGCCCTGTCCCCAGCTCCAAGAGCTCTCAGAGCTAAACTCTTCCAGCCTGCAATTCTAAGGTTTGGGTTCTAATGCTGACAGTTCAGACCAAAGGATGGGGAGAGGGTGGTCTGCCTTAAGTCACCTGTTAGAGTCCTCTTTCTCCCTGGATCCCAAAAAGAGAAGCCTCAAGGGAGTTTGGGCTTTTGCTGGGAAAGAACTTGGGTCTTTCAGGGAGGCGAAAGCCTAAGGAGCTGGCCTGTAAGTAGGCGGTGGCCACTGGGAATGGAGCACAGCAGCAGCGGGGAGCCCCCCAACGCTGCCTCAGGGAGAGGACAAGACAGCAGAGCACTCCCCTCACTCAGCATACACCTTGGGGGGCCTCACTGCTGGTCCAACGGGGACCCAGGGAGGCAAGGTCCCTGTTCCCTGGAGATTACAAACTGAGAGAGGGACCGACACATGTGCGAGGTAGAGTGGGGCGCCTTCCCCTGAGTGCAGGCCTGGCTCCACTTTTTCCTTCCAGTGACCCAAGACAAAAATTTTACGGCTTGTCCTGTCTTCCTAGCTTTCTGAGAACCACTGGAAGAGGTGGGTGTGAAAGACGTAGTAAAACATCTATAAGGGACTGAGGAGCTTACTGTGAATTGGACTCGAAAAGGAAACGTCACAAATTATCCACACACAGGGATTTATACACAAACCTGCAGGACACACATGTGCCAAGGCTCAAAGGAGGCTGTACTTTTACACCCTCTGCAGAGTTAGACGTGACCGACCAGTCTCTTGCAGGGACCCTCCCCATACTGCCTCTCCTTCCCAAGGCCCAACCCCTTGGGGGCCCTGATCTCTCTCCTATCTCCTTCTCCTTGGAAACCTTCCCCAATTACTGCCCTTTGCTGAAAAACAGACTACCCTGTCCCCATTTTTGGGCCTGAAATTCCACAACTATAATCAGAGTCATAGAATGTCAAAGCTGGAATGGACCTTCCGGCTCTAGTCCAACCCCCACCCCACACAGGAATCCTGTCCAAAGACACCCTGACAGATGGCCGCTGGCGTCCTCTCCTAGGCTTCTCCAGGACTCGGAAGGCAGCCCTGGCCCTGTGGACCAGTCTACTCCTTGAGTCTAGAAGGAATTCACCTTTCTCAGGGCCAGTCTCCTATGGAAGGCACTGGTGCCAGGGTGGGGTACCAAGGAAAGTTTGGTGGGCCTGAACCAGCAGCTGCTTATCTGGGGAGGGGCTGCATAGAAGAGGGGGAGCCATCGGGGAGAAAGGCAGGTGCCAGGGCTGCTGCAGAAATAGGCCTGGGCCCTCACCTGCAGCCAGCACTTGTGCACACACACTCCCACCCTGACAGCCACCTGTCACAGCACAACCAGGGCCTAGGTGGAACCTGGAGGCAGAGGGGGACCATTTTGCCCCAGAAACCCAGAAGAACTCCCCACAACTCAACTCTCCAAAGGCAGGCAGCTCAGAAAACTACCAGGAGCTGGCCCCTGCCAGTCATCCCAAGAGGGTCCCCAGGATGCCTGGCTCCCTAAATCCCACAGGCCAGTCCTAATACCCCGGCAACAGCAAGGAGAATAGCTCCCCTGGCTGCAGCTGTCACATCTGCCCTGGAGGGAGGGAGGGAGGGAGGAGGCGACACTGGAGCAGCACCTGATCCCAGGATCCCTTCGCAGCCGCCCGCCCAGGAGGCGGTTCAGCCACTGGCAGCCTGGGGTGAAACATGAAGACTGAGCAGGCCCCCAGGGATGCTGATGGCAGTCTCTAGGCACGGCAGTGAGGGGCAAGTTGGGTCACAGGGCAGAGGGCGCTTCGCCCCAAGGCTTCTGTCCCCGCTAGTTTAAGACGGGGACCGGGGGAGTTGCGGACTCTGTGGCCCGGCCCTGCCCACCCGCCCGCCGGCCGCCTGCCGTAGGCCAAAGCTGCCCTGCTGGGTGCCAGACGCCATGTTGGGTCAAGGTGCAGCCACAGGGGGCTCCCCTCAGGAGCCGAAGGAGGCAGCCCCTGGGAACCAGAGGGCACCGCTTCCTGCCCAGGGCGTCGACACCTCCTCAACTGGCAGCAGAGAGAGTGTGGCAGGACGGAGGGGATAAGACGGGGAGAAATGGTAGAGGGGGGCTAAGGTGGGAGAGGGTGCCCCCGAGAAGAGAGGCTTCAGGAAAGCGAAACGCAGTTTGGCAGCCCCAGGGCCGCGGGCCCCAACGATGAGGGGCTGGGGGAGGCCAGGGGCGGGCCCTGGATCCGCGCCAGCCCGGTCCGCGCCGAAGGGGAGGGAGGACAGGGCGGCCTGGGGGAGGGGAGCGGGGTGAGGGCGGGACACGGACCGCGGCCGCCTGCGGCTCTGAAGCTCGGGGTCTCCCAGGGTGCGGGGACGTGGGGCCGAAGACCCCGCTCCGCAGCCGCGGCGAGGCCTCGTCCTTCACTGTGCAGATGCGAAGCTTTCAAGGACACGTCTGCACCGGCCCGGCGGGGTGCGTGTGCGTGAGTGTGTCCGCGTGCGTGGGAATGTGCGTGGGGAGGGCTGAAGGGACGACCCCAGGCGTCCCCCCACGCGCCGCTCCCTGCCTCGGCCCCGCTGTTCCCACCCCCGCGTTTTCCGGCCCCCGCGGCCGGGGCCCGGGATCGTCGCCCGCCCCCGCCCCGCCCCCACATTGCGGCGCCGCCACCGCGGCCGCCCCGGCTCCCACGGCCCGCAGTGGGGACAGGGAGGAGCCGGGCACAACGACCCCCCCTCCGTGCCGCTGGCACTCCGCGGGGAGGTGTGCCCCCCAAACGGGCGCTCTCGCCCGCCCCGCCGCCCCTCCCGGACCCGCCGGCTCCCCGCACCCACAGCCACAGGTGGCCGGAGGAGGATCCCGGCGCGGCGCTCTCCGGCCCGGCCCGGCAATCACCCCTCGGCCCGCCCCCGGGGGCCTCCCGGGTCCCCCGCCTCGCGGGGCCGAGGAGGGCCGGGCGCCGGGGGGAGGGGCGGGGGGCCGGGTCGTGCCAGGCTGCCATTTTCTGCCGCCGCCGCGGAGCCTGCGCGGGGCCCGGCCCCCGCCCCCTCCCCCGCTCCCCCGGGCCGCCGCGGGGGCCGATCCTTCTGGGTCGGGGTCTGCGCCCTCCGGCGCCCTGGCCGCGGGCTCCAGGCGGGGCCACGGGGCGGGGGCAGAGCCCGGAAGGCGGGGGTGGCCCGGCCGCGGCCCCTGCGGCAGCGCCGAGCCGGGCACCGCGGCGGAGGCCGGCGGTGGAGGGGCCCCCCGTGGCATTGTATAGACTTGAACTTGAGCCCGGAGCCGGGCGGGGGCGGAGAGGGGGGTCCGCGCCGGGAGCGGGCGGGACGGGAGGGGGCGCCTGCCGAGCCCGCGGGGACATAAACAAACCCTCAAATCCCCCGCGCCGACCCGGCCAGCCCGGCCAGCCCGGCCCGCCGTCCCCGCCCGCAGTCCCGGCCCCGCGGGCGCCCGGCGCCGAGTTGCGGAGGTCCGGGAGCCTGCCCCGAGCCGGGCACTGCCCGCCGCGGTGCCCCCCGCCCGGCTCCCCGGCTCCCCGCCGCCTCCGGGCCGGCCTCCCGGGCCGCCAGCAGCGGCGCTGATTACCGTGTGGCCGGTGGGGTCGGGCCGGCCCGGCTGCGCGCCCTGGTGCCGCGGCGCCGCGTCCCGGCTCGTCCTCTGCTCTCGCCGCCGCCGCCGCCCGCGCGCCCTCCCTCCCTCCCGGCCCGCCTGCCTGCCTCGCTCGCTCGCTCCCTCCCTCCGCTCGCTGTCGCGCTCCCTCTCTCCGCCTCCTCCGCCGGGTCCCCCCCTCCCACCCCTTCTCTCCGCCTTCCTCCTTCCCTCCCTCCGGCCGCCCGCCGGCCCAGGCCTCCGCCCGCCGCTCGCCCCCCGCGGCCGCGCTGGCCCGGGCCCCGGCGCTGCGGAGCCGGCCCGGGAGGCAGCGCCGACTGGGGGGCCCCGGGGCGCCGCGGCGGGAGCGGCCTGGGCGCGCGGCCGGTCCTAGCGCCCTCGGCGCGACTTCCCGGCCTCTGCGGCCCCGCCGGGGTCCCCGCACGCCGGGAGGAGGAGGTCCGGACCCCGCACCGCCCCGACCGGGCGCCAGGCCCGAACGCCCAGCCTCGGCCACGCTCTCGGCCACTCCGAGCCCCTCGTGTCGGGCCTCGCCGCAGCCCTCCCCACGCGGGGCGCCCTGTTACCTGGCGCTGCCTCTGCGCTGGGTCCCCGCATCCAGCACTGGCCGTAGGGACAGCGGCCCCTCCTCTCCCCCGGCCGGTGTCAAGTGCCTCCCCCTGCAGCCCGCGGAGCCCCCGGCGGCCTTCGCCCTGCAGTTCTTCCGACCTCCGCCAGAGCCCACTGCGCTCTGCCTGCCTCAGCACTGGGGCTGGGGACAGCAGCGCCGGCCCAACCGCGCCGCAACCCCCAGCCAGGTGCCGCCGCGGAGTGGAGGCCACTCCGCTCTACAGGGCCAAGGTCGGAGCGCCACAGCCCTCCTGGCGGTCCCGCAGGCTCCAGAGCCTCTCTGAGATCAGCCGCGTGGACGGTAGTGAGTTCCCCGTACCTTGAGGTGTCCAAGTAGAGTTGGGTGCCCTCAGTTGGGCACTGGAAGACTGAAAGATTTCATGAGGTGGGAGGTTGAAAGAGATGACACTGAAGGTCTCTTCCAGCTGGAAGATTCCGTGCATACCTACACTCCGCCCTCACCCCTTCACTGTGGGGGCTGTTCTCCTTCCCCATGGAGCTCTCAGGGCTCCGGGTTCCTGACTTGGAGCATCTCTAATTCCACCAGCACAGCCACTGTGTGCTCCTCTCACTTCTCCAGCAGCCACTCTAGGACTTGGGGCTGGGCCTCCCACCCCCGCCTTCAGCCTCCTTGCGCGCCCCTGCATCCCACCAACCACCTCAGCTCTGCACCCCGAATTCCACTCAGCCCTTCAGCTACATACAGTGCCCTGAGCTCTCTGACTGGCACAGGACTTGGTGTGTTCTCTCTCCAGTGACCCACCATCCTACTTGCGGGCAGGGGCTGCTGGCGGTGGTGGTGGGACTCACTTCACAGTGAATGGGGTCCTACTTTTCTCTTCTCCCCAAGCAGCACAGCCCCCATCAGCACCACCCTTTTGAGGGTCAAAGAAAGGAGTTGCCAAGTTCTCTGGGACCAGGAGCTGCCTTTCATACAGAAGGGAAGGCTTTCTTTCCAGAAGTCCTCCAATGCTTCCAGGTCCCTCCATCTCCCCAACCCCCACCCTGAGCCCCAAGATCTGAGACCAGTCTCCAGGCCATAGTTCTGGCTGTGATCAGTGTCACCCTCACTCAAGTGGCCACCCCCTCTACTGATGATAGGCCCTGCTGTCCATGGTCTCCACCGGCCCATCCCCAGAGCCTCCCAATGTTCTGCGAGGACCGAGGCCGTGTCTGTCGTCCCTGTAGCCCCACACTTGCTGCTAGGAGGTTCTCAGTAGTGAACCTCCTGCCTCCTCCATGTTGATGGAATTAACATGTGACCCTCAGATTCCTGGGCTCTTCACTTTCTACATCAAGAGAGACATCCGTGAACACTCTAAATGGTGCACCCAGCTTGGCAAAGGAGAAGACCATTTTTAGAAAGGTGATTGAGATACCTCTGCTTTCATTAAGGGTTTACAGAAGACTGCTCCTAAACAGCAGCGACTGTTTACTGAGTGTCTACTATGTGCCAGGCACCAGCCATGGCATTTTCCTTAGTCTTCGCCAGCCCTGTGATGTAGTTTGTAGTACCCTCACACTACAGGCGAAGAAACTGAGGCTTGATCTTATTCAAAGCCATACAGTTGGGAAGTGGCAGAGTCAGGATTCAAAGCTGGGTCCATTTGACTCTGAAATCACCCCACACCACATCTTTTTTTTCTTTTCTTCTATTGAGACAGAGTCTTGTTCTGTTGCCCAGACTGGAGTGCAGTGGAGTGATCATGACTCACTGCAACCTCAACCTTCTGGGCTCAACCAGTCCTCCTGCCTCAGCCTCCTGAGTATCTGAGGCTAAAGATGCACACCACCATGCCTGGCTAATTTATTATTATTATTTGTAGAGATAGGGGTCTCTCTCTCTTGCTCAGGCTGGTCTTGAACTTCTGGGCCCAGATGATTCTCCCACCTCAGATTCCCAGTGTGTTGGGATGACAGGCATGAGCCACCCAGCGCTTTTGAAATATAGTTGCTCTTAAGAAGCTGAAATTCAATGGGTGCAGTGGCTCACCCCTGTTATCCCAGCACTTTGGGAGGTCAAGCTGGGTGGATCACTTGAGGTCAGGAGTTCGAGACCAGCCTCGCCAACATGGTGAAACCCTGTCTCTACTTAAAATACGAAATTAGCCGGGCATGGTGGAGCATGGCTGTAGTCCCAGCTACTCAGTAGGCTAAGGCGGGAGAATCGCTTGAACCCGGGAGGTGGAGGTTGCAGTGAGCTGAGATCGTGTCACTGGCACACTTCAGCCTGGGTGACAGAGTGAGACTTTGTCTCAAACAAAACAAAAAGCTGAAATTCTCAGGGCCGTGATCAGCAAATGTAAATTTCTATTCAATAGGGCTATTTATGATGCCGTTATCAGGAGCCACTGAAGTATGTAACCTTGGATGTAGGGGTTGCTGGGGTCAAGAGGCCCAAGGCGACCATGTAGGGGGTTTGTGTTTGTTAAGAAACAACCATATGGCTACAGCGTTGGTTCCAGACCCTGGCCCTAATGTCTTTGGTCCCAAAAGGAGGCATATCGCACCTGTAATTCCAATTCTGGCTAACCCTCATCACCGTACATCATACTGGGTTAACTCAGGCTGGTTTAGCCTTTGAGATTCTACACCCCTCACTTGTGTTTGACCCACTGTGGCCTCATCAGAATCCTGGCTGATTCTAGATTATCTGGAGTATGGGCAGTATCAGGACAGGCTAAGTTGTCCTACAGTAACAAACAACTCCAAATCTCAGTGACTTAAAACCACAAAGTTTCTGTGGAAAGCAGTGTGGTGGTACCTGAAAAAAATTAAACATAGAATTCCTATATAACCCAGCAGTTTCACTTCCTGGTGTACAGTCCAAAGAACTGAAAGCAGAGATTGTGTTTGTTTGTTTTTGTTGTTGTTTTGTTTTTGTTTTTGAGACAGTTTCGATTTTGTCATCCAGGCTGGAGTGCAGTGGCACAATCTTGGCTCACTGCAACCTCCACCTCCTGGGTTCAAGTGATTCTCCTACCTCAGCCTCCTGAATAGCTGGAATTACAAGCACACACCACCACACCTGTAATTTTTGCATTTTTAGTAGAGACTGGGTTTCACCATGGTGGCCAGGCTGGTCTTGAACTCCTGACCTCAGGTGATCCACCCACCTTGGCCTCCCAAAGTGCTGGGATTACAGGCGTGAACCACCGCGCCTGGCTGAAAGCAGAGATTTGAATAGATATTTATACACCAATGTTTTATAGCAACATTATTCACAATGGCTGAAAGTGGAGGCAACCTAGATGTTCATCAGCTGATGAATGAATAAGCAAAATGCAGTCTATCCATACAGTAGAAGATGATCCAGCCTTAAAAAGAAGGGAATCCTGACACCTGCTACAACATGCATGAATCTTGAGGATGTGCTAAATGAAATGAACCAGACCCAAATGCACAAATACTGTAGGATTCCACTTATATGAAGGCCCTGGAGTAGTCAGACTCATACAGACAGAAGTAGAATGGTGGGTACCTGCGGCTGTGGGGAGGGGGAAGGAGGATTCAGTGTTTAATGGGGATAGAGTTTCGGTTTGTGAAGATGAAAAAGTTCCGGAGATGAATGGTGGTATTGGTTGTACTTATGCCACTGAACTATACACTCAAAAATGATTAAAATGGCTGGGCACAGTGGCTCACACCGGTAATTCCACCACTTTGGGAGGCCAATGTGGGCGGATCACCAGATATCAGGAGTTCGAGACCAGCCTGGCCAACATGGTGAAACCCTGTCTCTACTAAAAATACAAAAATTAGCAAGGTGTGGTGGCAGGCACCTGTAATCCTAGCTACTTGGGAGGCTGAGGCAGGAGAATTGCTTGAACCCAGGAGGTAGAGGTTGCCATGAGCCGAGATGGTACCGCTGCACTCCAGCCTGGGCAACAAGCGCAAAACTCCATTTCAAAAAAAAAAATGGTTAAAATGATGGATGCCATGTAATGTCTATTTTACTACAATAAAAAAATAGAGCATAATCCAACTGTATATTACATTTCCAGTGGATTACCAAAAAACTGCTGAGTGCCTTCTCTTGCCCATGTCACCTGTCTATCGCAGGTTTGCAGAGGGGGCTCTGCTCATTGAATAGTCAGGGACCCTGGTCAACGGAAGAGCCACTATCTCAAGGAGAGTTCCAGTGGGTGTCCCATTGACAAAAGGCACTTGTCACGAGAGGCAGTCACACAGCTCCATTCACCTACAAGGACCAGGAAGTAAATGCCACCATGGGCCTCAAGGTGGCGAGAACCAGATAGAGTTAGCACCAGTGACTACCACAGGGGTCCTCTCAGCCCCATCACAGGTCACATCTTCCTCTAACATCCTCTACCCAGGGCCTCCAGCGGAAGGCTTAGCTCCCACACTCCTGACTCAAAAGAGAGAAGTGGCGGTTGGGCTACCCTTGGCCTCAACATCCTGACACGTCTTGTGTCCTTTCATCCATCTTCCTCAAACCATCTCATCTGCCTTTGGCACACTGGGTGACCTTCCATCCTCCTTCCTGACTTCCAGACCTGGCTCACCTACCAGATGCTTGGTGACTTCCACCCCCACAGTGACTCACTACTGCAGTCATCTTAATATCCCCTCCACGTGACACCTACTAGGAGAACTATGTCCTGGACCTCATCACTGTCGGTTCTTCATCTGTAACATATGGGGATCCTTCCACCCACCTGCCAGGTAGGGCTGTTATATTACTCAAGGTCCTCTCTGTTGCAGTAACAGAATACCAGCCTGAATTAGCCTGAAGAGAGGGATTCCATTGTTTAGAATTGAGAAAATTGCCCAGAGTTGGGGATTCTGGAATAGGAAAACTCAGGGGTTCAAATGCCAGCTCCAGAGTGCACTGTCTCCCCGCCCTCTCCCTTTCTTCACTTGTTTCATTGCTCACGACTGCTTCCCACTATTTTGGCATCTTTTCCTCCTACATTAAACAAACTCCACACAGCCTTGGAAGATGGCGGCCAGCAGGCTCAGGTTCACATGCTCCCAGCTTAGAATCCCAGTGGAAGAATATCATTTTCTTTTCCTTCAAGAAAGGAAAAAGGACTTCAGGAAGTCCCCTATTGCCTCCAGGACATGGAGCTTGGGATTTTAACAACCCTTCACCCCCAACTCTGAGCCTCAAAGACTGAGACACACAATTGCCCTGGTTTTTGTTTCTGTTTTGTTTTTCTTCAATGTCACCCTCACTCAAGACGCCATCCCTGGCAGAAAAGTCCCAGGGACTAGTTCAGTTGTTCTGGTGTTGGTCACAAGTCCACCCTGAACCAGGCTCTGTGACCAGTGGGACCACACAGATTACATGCCCTCTCCTGGAAGTGGGTGCGACCAGTGGCACTGGGATGAACAGATCCTGCCAGCACCCTGTGAAGCAGGGCAAGGCTGTTCACCAAAGCAAGGATGCTGGGCCAGCACATCACACGTCCCCCGATGGCCACGCAGCATCCACGCATGCCTTTCCTCACCATGGATGCACTTTCAAAAGTGCTCCTGCACTTGACAGAGTTGGTGGCTGATAGCACTGTGAATGGACTAAATGCCACTCAACTGTACACTTTATTTATTTTATTATTTATTTATTTATTTTGAGACAGGATTTTGCTCTTGTTGCCCAGGCTTGAGTACAATGGCACGATCTTGGCTCACTGCAACCTCTGCCTCAAAGGTTCAAGCAATTCTCCCGCCTCAGCCTCCCAAGTAGCTGGGACTACAGGCATGCACCACCACTCCTGGCTAATTTTTTGTATTTAATAGAGGCAGGGTTTCACCATGTTGGTCAGGGTGGTCTTGAACTCCTGACCTCAAGTGATCCACCTGCCTCGGCTGGATTTAAAGTGGTTAATTTAATGTTATGTGAATTTCATCTCAATAGAAAATATATCATTAAAACTGCTCCTGCTAATATAAAGAACCCACCATCTCATCCACAACTAAAAATGCATTTACTCTCTGTGAAAAAGATAATCCAAGTCATGGCCGG